TGAAAACTGGGTACACAGTAGAGAAGATAGGAAATTCTGATTTGCTCTGCTTAGTTGAGTCAAATGGAAAGAGGGAATCTCAGTCAAGGAACTTCCTCTCTCAGACTGGCCTGTGGCCATGTCTGTGGGACATTTTTTTGATTGCTAGTTGATGGAGGAGGACCCAGACCACTGTAGGTGGTGCCACCCCTTGGTGGGTGGGCCTGGGTTGTATCAGAAAGGTATCTGGGCCATCAGTGGGAGCGAGCCAGCACACAGGTCATGGTTTTTGCTTCAGTTCCTGCCTTGGCTGCCCTCAGAAAACACCTATGACTTGTAAGCTGAAATTAAGCCTTTCCTCCCCAAGTTGGTTTTGGTCAGTGTTTTAGCATAGCAACAGAAAGCAAACTAGGACATGATTCAAATGGGGACACATTTGAAATTATGCAATAATTAAGGAATGACACTGGAGCATTTGATAAACTAAACAACAAAATAAGGAAAACAGCTCTCCAGGGTAGCAACAAATATTTTCGTCCTGATACTTAGTCAACAATGTAACATTCAGTAACTATTTTTACTTCGCTTATGTTTCTTTGTTTCATTATCTGGCTTCATTTAAGAATATTTATACTATTTCTTAGAAGATTCTTGGGGGGGTACAGATATTTGTGTTTATTTGTTTATCTTCTTCCCCAAATCTAGTACTCTGTATTATATTTTCAATGCAATTCAGTAACTAAAAACTCCACCTTCTAGCTGAATGATCTTAAGACCTGAATGCAGAACAAGGGCCACTGTAGATATATCAAACAATTAGGGCCCTATCCCCTGGGTTTTTTTTTTTTTCCCCTTTTTTCCTCTGAAAAATTGTTGTGGGGTCCCTGTGTCAGATACCAGATATCCCATGATGAACAAGATACAATCCTTGTCCTCAAAGATCTGTCCTTGCAGTAAAGGAGACAGATGCTTAGGGTGTGGTGTGAAATTGCCATAACTAAAGTCGCGGGGTACTTTGGAAGCACAGGGGATGGGAAAACGCAGACAAAAGACTTCCTGGAAAGGAAGAGATGTCTAAGCTGCACCCGAATGACAAATACTGAAGGCCTGGGGCAGTGGTGGAAGTGAGCATTAGTGTGTAGCCAAGCAGAGAAACTGATTTGGCCTTAGCTATGAAGGTCAAAATCTTAAAGAGAATTGATGTTTGTGTTTGCACAGTCTTCTCTGTACAAATGACTCAAACCCAGTCCTCCATACAGTACAATTGCTGAACTGGGAGCTGATGTCGCCAGGCTGTGGTCAGGTATCAGGCACAGGGCCCACATCCTCACCCATCTGATGGTTAGCTTCCTTATCCTGTCTCTTCAGAGCTCTGTTGGGTGGGATTGCACATTATCTGCTTCTTTTTCAGGCATAAGCATGAAGAGATTCTCTCAGTTTTGGACCGTGAGGCAAGACAACCTCACAGAATGCTATAAAGCAAAGATTTCTGTGTTGTATAAATTTAATACAGAACAAGACACCTATTTTGTTTGGGAATATGACAGAATTTCTTTTCTATTCTTATTTCTCCACTTATTTGTTATAAACTATAAACAGATGAGAAAACATTAAATATATGTATTTTTAAAAGATATGTGTTATTTTTATTTACATGTATACCTGTGTGTGTATGTGAACGCATGTGTGTGCAAGTGCCAGTGGAGGTCAGAGGAGGGTGTTAGATTCCTCTGAAGCTGGAGTTCAGGCTGTTGTGAACTGATGCGGCTTTTGGGAACAGAACTTGGGTCTTTGCAAGAGCAACAAGTCCTCTTAACTGTTGAACCATCTCTCCAGCCCCTGATTACATGCATTTTAAGTTAATTTGAAGAAGGCAACAAAACTTAGAGTTTTAAAGCCTTTATCTGTGGTCTTAGTACATAGTATCAGCATTTTTCAGGTAAAAAATTGGTTAAATTAGGCCCTGTTTCTTATCTTTAATAAAATCAGCTTTGGTTAAAAATAGTGATATAGTACAATTCACCCACTTTGTCAAAGAATGAGCATACTATTAGCACAATAACTTTTGAAACTTTGTCAACAGGCTATCATAGCTACTTTACAAATGCACCCTGCTTCAGAAGTCCTGCTTGTAGACAGTTATATTTCATATTTAACTTTTTTTCTTCTTTCTACGTCAAAAACTGTCTAGTGAGCATCCAGAAAAGACAAGAATAGATTTCTGACTGGGCTTTGTTCACAGTGAATGAGGAGGAAGTGACATGGGTCTCAAGAGTCAGGGTGTGAAGAGCCAGAACACAAGTTTCAAAGTTAGAGATTCTAATTCAAGTCCCAGCACTTCCTCTGCACAATGGGGGTAACAACCACTGCCTCCTCAAATGTGGAGGCCCGAATTCTTCTGTAGAAATCATTACTAGTACATGATGATTTAACGTAGTCGTTGGTAGTAATATAGGACAATGTAGACAATGACTTTCCTAAAATCTCCTAGGAAATCTACCAAGCGAATTTGGAACTGGGATGGAAAAGCCTATAAAAAAAAGGAGAGTAATTTAAATTGCAACTCAGAATGTCTCTCTGCCTCTCTGTCTCTGTCTCTCTCCTTCCCTCCTTTTGTCCCTTCTTCCTTTACTCCCTGTGTCTGTGTGTGTGTGTTGAGAGAGGGCTCCATTATGTAGCCCAGGCTGACTCTAAACTGAAGATTTGCCTGCCTCAGCCTCCCTAGTGCTGGGATTACAAGGTATACCACCTTGCTCAGCTAAACTAATGTCTTTATAACAGAGGGTCCCAGTGGGGTTAACCTTATTTTTAATATACTACTAAAGGGGCTCTCTAATAACTCACTTGGATATAATAAAGAGTAGAATCAATATTTCATGCTTTTTTTGAAATAGTTTCTGAAATATTTTCACCTCATTAATCATTATTATTTGAAAATATAAAGCTTATTTTCTTCTAAAAGAAAAAATGAACCTTTAGAAACAGAATATTGGTTGGTTTTTATCAAATGCAATGTATCATAAGATTGTTATGCACAATAAACAAAGGAGGCATGTCAGTGCACCTGTAACCTGATAAAACATTAGTAAGCTAGTGTAAATTTCATTTCTATCTTTAAAAAACTTTTATGAAAGGCTTCACTCCATTTTTGCTTAATAGCCTTTAAAAATAAAGAGGTATTATCATGTAAGACATTTTGATAATTGAAAATAGTGACCTACAGAATGCTGCTGAGTATCTGTGTTTGTGAAAAGGCATTTGCAACTGGGTACCTGTTAGGCATGTGCTTAGTATACTCTAAGAAGGATCTGGAAGACTATGTGCTGGCGGCTGGCTGGCTCACTTACCTCTAGCGAAAGGAGCACAGTGTGGTCAGAGGCAGAGAATGAACTTTTCATTTGCCTGTGAATGCTAATGTTATATTTGAAGCAGAGCATACTTGCAAAACTGATATAACTCCTTGTGGGAAAATTTTAGAAACATGCTGTTACTGGTGCTGATGGTCATGTATGACTTGCATTAAAAATTAAAAACACAGAGAGAACACCAGGAGGAGCCACTATGCCTGCTCTGCCACTCGGGCTGCTTCTGGACAGCACCTTGATTAAGTTAGGGTCTACAGACACGGTGATCAAAACACAAATACCTAGGAAACATTCCATGTACAGCTGAATGTTATGTTTGGAATGATCACAGATTCCATGGGAGGCTTGATTCTCTGAAATTCAATGAGGAGGTGTTTTGGGAGGGGCACTCTCATTGTTGATGTATTCACGTGGCCAAGACAGGCATGATTTTATCTTACTGCAATGGTTCACTAGACTAGAAACCATGCTTGCTTTTCATTCCTTAAAACAAAGGCCAGACCAAACAACAAAGCCTGTTTGACTTGTCACCCAAAAACCCAAAGAAAATAAAAACATTCAACTGTTTACTCACCAAATCAATAACAACGCCTTCAAAAAGCTGAACCTCTGCCCCCAATTACCTTCAGTACTAGCCCCCGACAGAAGACTGTCAGCAGATTTTATGCACATCCCTTGAGGAAAACCATTCTTGCTGCTTTCACTTTGTACAGAAGATAAGTTTGCAAAGGGGGGCAGAGGGGGGCATTTGGCAAAGCTTCCAATGCGCCCTATCTGGTGGTGTTGATAAGGCAATTCTTTCTTTTGATCATGGGAGCATCTTACAATGCTCCCATTTACTGACACCACCCTGCCCCCACTGAGTGCATGTATCTACCGAGCAGACATAATCCATGCCATCCCCTCAACTGTTCAACCTTTCTCCTATTGGAAAGTTCCAAACCGGCCAGACTGATGATATGCGGAATCCTGCTTTTGAAAGATGCCAGATTCTACTTGGCATGCCTACAAATTTGTCCATCATTCAAATAAAAGTGAATGAGGAATGTTCGTTATAGTGGGAAATTCGTTAATATATATCATATGTGTTTAAAAGGGAACAGCTACATGTCATGCAGATAAATAATGTGCAGACTTAAAATGAGGATTTTTCTTTTTATTGAGACAGAGTCACACAACTCACAAAAGCCCCCAATAAAATTTGTTTGTATAAAACTCACACTTTATGTAAAACATCTCCCAAATAAAAAGGCACCCAAGATAGATAAAGCCTATAGTCACTTTTTTTTTCTTTTTAATAGTATGGAAAAATCAAAGTGGCTTGATGTCTCTAAATTGTAGTCTTTGAGCATGTCCATACAGCACCCCAGAATAACCCAGGTCCCACAGACCCTGGGAGGTCTATCAAAACTGGATAATGTAACAGGTGGAAAGTGATCTGTGGAGACATTTGTAAAATCCACTTGCTGACTATTGTTTGGACTGAATTCCATGGGGGAGGCATTGTTTCCCACAACATACTGAGTGCTAGAACCAGTAGATGACCTAAAACCACACAGGTTGGAAACAAACTCCATCCATTGCCTATTTGCAAATGTAGTGAAAAAAAATAAGAGATTGAGGAAACATAAATAAAATAAAAACACATTTACTCACTGTGTTAAAATTTGGAAAGAGCCCAACAGCAGAACTACTGTCCACTGGAAAAGACATAAATGGTTTGATATCCAGTGAAGGCTGCATCATCAGGGTAGGTGTGCGCACAAGAGCAGGAAGGGTAGTGGTGTGGCATGCACTGCCTGCCAAGAACAAAACAAAACCAATTCAATCTCTCGTTCACGTCCACCTCCCTCCCAAACCTGCAGTGTGAACAGGAGACCAACAGCTGAGGGGCAACCTGCAAGCAGGAAAGTCACAGAAGCAAGCACCTGGCACAGGAGTGGCAAATATAGTGAAAAGGACTTTCTTCCTTGTGGTCTGAGACATGTGCAGAATACTGCTCTGTGCAAGGGCTAAGGGCTGCTCAGCTGACACACACTGTCCCTGGGTTCCACAGCCAGGTAGGGCACAGTGGGAATGTCCTGGTATCCAATGGCAACTTGGAGGACCCCAAAACCTACAAACTGCTGGAGAAGAGAGGAGGGAGCTCTGGCAGATGCTCTTTACTATTCAGAGTAAATGGCTAGCACCATGTTCTATGCAAATCAGAGATGATTACAGGGTTTTTACAAGAGGAAGAAAACTTGGACTTTGGAAGTTACTGTCTGCTCCTAAGATAATTATGACTCAATTTGTTGTCTTAAAATATGAACAGAAAGTTGCCCTTTCTTTGGGAAAAAGGATGCCTAGACATCAAAATGGTTAGAGAATATCAAGAAGGTTGATGATGGCCTGGCTGCAGACAGGGAGTTGTTGGAATAGAAATTCATCATTTTGTCTTGAACTTTTTTTCCTAATGAACTTTGTAGTATTTGAGCAACCGTCCCTCTGAAAAGTTATACTAGCTGTCCCCTCTTTTGCTGTCTGTTTTAACACAGAACAGGTAGTTTAGAATGATGTCGGCATCATGAGTGTAGACACATCTGATAGTCAGGTGGCTCTCTAAAAGCCAGGCTTCTGGCATGCTTTGTGTATGTGTAAGCATACACATTTGTGCAGGTATGCATACACATGTGTGCACAAACACATGGAGACCAAAAGTCAATAACAACTTGAGCCCACTGCCTTGTTTTCTGAGACAAGGTCTTTCACTGGGATCTGGGACTTTCCAGGTAAGCTGGCTGGCTAGCAGCCCTGGGCTCCTGCTGTCTCTGCCTCCCCTGAGCTGGGATTACAAGAGCTCATCACCATGGCTGGCTTTCTATGTGGGTACTGGGGATCAAACACAGGTTGCCCCTCTATAGGGGCACCCAGCACTCACATAGCTTTATTAAGATATAATTCACACATTAGATAATTCACCTTTGTTAATTGTGCAATTCAATAGTTTTTAGTGTATTCACAGAGTTTACAATAAGGACAACTTCACTTAATTGTAGGACATTTTCATGACTTCTTAAAAGAAACTTTGCTCTTATGAGCAGTCCCTTCCCAGCAGTTCTGGGCCCAACAACCATTATTCTATTTCTCTATGTAGATTTATGTATCTGGACACATTTAAATGCAATCGTGTAACATGTAGTCTTTTGTAACTGCCGTCATCTGTCTGGCTTAATGCTTCCATTCAAGGCTTCGTCATGTGATAGCTTGCATCAGAATATTGTGCATTTTCAAGACTGAATAATAGTCTATTGAGTTAATGTCCCACATTTTGCATATTCACATATCAGTTTTTGGGCAATTGGATTATTCCTACTTTTTGAGTACTCCGAACACTGCTGCTATGGAGATCCCTTTATACGTTGTTCTGTGGACATATGCTTTCAGTTCTCTCAGAAGTAGAAGTTTGCTAATCATTGGTCAGATGGTTCCATCTTCTCAGGGACTACCAGACTATTTTCCAAGGGGACTGAATCCTCTCACATCACCACCAGCAGCATATGAGGGCACCAGTTTCTCCTAGCCTGCCTATATAGGATCATACAATAAATCATGCCTAAACTAAAATCCCTTACTTGCTTCAGTGGGAAATGAATAGAATGAGAAATGCTCTAGTTATTAAAATGCCACCAACCTCTTACACAGAGTCCAGAATCACTAAAATTCCTGTCTTACTGGGTGTGGCACATGCCTTTAATCCCAGCATTTGGGAGGCAGAGGCAGATGAATCTCTGTGAGTTCTGGGCCAGCTGGGGCTACAGGGCCCAGACCCTATCTCCAACAAAAAAAAAAAAAAAACAAGGAAAAAAAATTTAAACAAACCAACAAACAGAAATTGCTATCTCAATACTTGTTTTAGTAATGAATTTCCTAAATAAACCTGGATAGTACTGACAATAGTGTTAATGAGTGTCATAGCTCATTTACATTGATAGAAAGAAAGAAAGAAAGAAAGAAAGAAAGAAAGAAAGAAAGAAAGAAAAAAGAATTAAAGAAAGAAAAGGGTACCTGAAAGATTCCCCTCTAATGGCTCTTCAGGTCAGCTACATCCATTAGGAAATAAACTAGGATTCAGCAGAAAGAAGAGTCAAGCGTGTAGCTGGAACGATGATTTTTTTTCTCTAATGCCCAATTAAATATTCTGGTTCTGCCTGGCATGCATATAGGACTGGCATTTAATTAATTATTACTCTCCTCATTAGGTAAATGCTACAGTCATTGCTAACTTCTATGCTTGCAGATCCAAGATGATGTATTACATCCACGCATTAAAAGTCTCAGAAACACATTTTAAAGTACTTATTTTAACACCTTCACTTTAAAGTCATAGCTAAATTCTAGAGATAGCTCTTGTATTAGATCAGTAGTCTGCTGTAATTTATCATTACAATAATTATTAAATTTCTAAAGTACAAAGAATAAGTATGCAAAATCAACCTAAGCTGCCAGGCAAACAAATTTATAAGTGTTTTGCAGTTGTAGGTCTTAAAAGGAAGCAAAGTTCCTTCTCTAAGTCCCTCTATGGTGGCTGTGATGATAGCGTGTAACACAGGGCCCCCCAGGGCCTGGGAAGAGTCACTTTGTACTAACAAACTCAAATAAAATGCAACAGGGAACCAACAGATTGCTCCATCAACAAAGGTCAGAATGCACTGCAATCCTCCTTACCCAATCAAATCTCTATGCTAATAGAGACCAGGCTTGAGAACTACTTAGCTGACACCATTCATTAGCATAAAAACTTAGCAGCTGTTTACCATTTCATTAGCATTTTAATGACAGACAATTTGGCATGTTAAACACAGATTGTTTTAAAGTACTGTTGGTTCCTCTGAATAAACTATGCTTTCTTCAATTCCCTCACCTCAACCTCGCTGTTTTTCTTTTTATGTACCACTCCAACAAGACTGAATGCTTCAAAGGAGCCTTTTGCAAATGGAAATAAAGGAGGATAAAGTGCTTTTTTTTTCCAAGTTATTTTATGCATTGATCCCTGTCACCTTATTCTAGATTTTTGCACCTCTGGGTGCCTGAAAGTCAATTGGGAGTTGCAAGCAAAAATTTGGGAAAAATGCATTGTGTCTTGCAAGAAAAGGATCAATTTCTCTGAACATCAAAGACAGATTTAAGAAAAAAAAAGTTGAAAAACTAAGTGAGGATTTCCATGCAAAAGTGCCTCTTGACCATTGTTCTCATAGAACAGGACTAAGATTTGACTTTTTTTTTAAAGCAAAGTTTGAGATTAAGGAAAGAAGGGATTTACTAAGTAATTGCCACTTGTTAAGGAAAAAAGACTATATACATTTATATTTAAATACTGGTGTGAAGAGGAAGACAGACAAAAGGTGACCAAGACAAAGGTGAGCGTGGGTGTCCCAGGAAAGTGTCATCAACTTTTGACTTTTATACAACTATTTAGTATTTTTATGACTCTTTTTTTCATCATTCTTGGGTCTGTATGTGTGAGTCTGGTGTATACTCACTTGTGTGTTCGAATGTGTGCACAGTCCAGAGAAGATAACCAGTGTTCTGGTTTACCCCTCTCTGACTCATTACTCTGAGACGACAGGGCTTGTCACTGAACCTGGATCTATGATGAGCAGCCAGAAGGTCCAGCGTGCCTCGGATCTCTTTTGCCCTCCATTGTTGGGGTTATAGGCACATACCTGCCCAGCTTTTTGATGGGTGCTAGGATCCAAACTCAGGTCCTTATGTTCACACAGCAAGCAGTCTTACCTATTAAGCCATCTCTTCAGCCCTGGCACTTAAAATTATTTAATTACTAACCTTTATAGGGTAGCATACGTTGATACAAAAGCATAATTCTCATCTCAAAGGGGATAAGAGATAGTTTTTTTCTGGAGTGAAATATGAGTGACCATGGCCCGGGAACAAAGAGTCAGTTACCCCAAATTCCTTGTTCTAGCTTGGCAACAGTTTCATTATGTTTTTATAGTAACAAAACAAAGAAAACTCATAAATCAAGACACTTTTCAAAAATATTCGTGGATATGTTCAGTTGACAGGTCAAGGTAAAGGGGGTGGGCAAGTCTACTATAGGTCTCAGATGCTATCTGATGACATTCTTATCTTTTTGATTGGTGGGACCTGGTAGCCTGCTAAATTAATACATTCCAAAAGGTTTTCATCTGTCAGCCAGGGGATGTTAAGTCAGAAACAAGGGTGGTCAAGGAGTGACTATTTAGGGGGCTAAAGATGGCCCAAGGTAAATGGTAATTAGGTCCTGAACCTGCAGCATTTCATATGCTCCACAGTCAACTGAAGTTCTAATCAGTTGATCAGCCTTGCAGAAGAAAGTCCAGTTTGAAGACATAAGGTTTACTGGGAATTTTCATTCACATGCGTAAAGTACTGAGTTTCATCACTGATGGAGAAATATTAGGTCCTAAATACTTCTAGCATGGTCACCACCCTCTGGCTTCCTTCCCGAAAAGCAGGAACCCACCCTCAACTGGCTGCTCTGATACAATTCCAGTTGTAATACCTCAAGTGCCTCCATTTTATGTAAGTTTAACTGGTCAATCATCTGGTCATAGGACCACCCCCAAGAAGGCGGGTTATGAGAGGAATACCTAGTGCATTAATGACATAGCAACTTTTTCCTACCTGTAATACTGCCTACGGGGTGGGAGTGGGGGCAGAACTTCTAGCTACAGCCATGAATTGAGGGAAGCGTAATTTCCCCTTTTTTTTCTTCATGTCTTTCTTACTAAACATTCTTTCTATAAGGCTTTGTGCT